GTAAACTTACATTATATTCTGTGGTTTTTTCTACTAGTGTTCTGATGGTTTGTAAGTGATCATTAGCGCCAAACCCTTTTCTAAATCCCGCCTGTTCAACCGGTTGATATAAATCAAGTTTTTGTGTTATGCGGTTGGTTATTATTCTTGTTAACAATTTGTATAAGTGTGACAACAAACTTATAGGTCTGTAGTTTTCAATATTAGTAGTGTCTCCTTTCTTGTGTAAAAGTATTATTTCGGCGTTTTATTATTAGTATTATTATATTAATATTTTAGTATTATTATTTCCCATAGGCTGGGTATTCTTTTTTCTGTTAGACACTAATTCAGTAAGACTTCCACAACTTCTACAATGATGTTGCCGCCCATTTTTAACATTTCAGACGTTATACGATCCTCGCCGGGAGCTTTTTTGTTTTTCATTTGCTGTAAGGCATGTCTAATTTCCGAAGAGGTTATTTTAGGGAGGGTTTCCGAGCCGACGACGTTTAGAATTGTTCTGTGGTCTGTTTCGGGGTTCTGTATAGTAGATGTATAAAGATTCTTATAGAACGTTTGTATTTCCTTGATTATTTGAGTTTTTTCGGTCACCGTATTCCCCTGTTGATTTTTGATTTTAGTTATATTTGATTTTCCTTTAGTTAAATTTGATTTCAATACTCTCATGTTTCTATTGTTTTCGATGGTTTGCAATATTTGTTTTGTTTTATAAGCCCGCAAGTCTGACCTCTCTTTTTAACTCTTTTCTTAGCTCTTTTTAACTTTATTGTTGATAGCTTTATACTCTGGTAATTCTTTCGATGTTCTTCTTCTTTCTTCCATTAAATTAAGTGTTGTTTGTTTCAGTTTCGTTTTTCTGGGATTTTTATTTTATCACAGATCTTTTTTGCAGTTGATGTTATGTCGTTCGTTAATTTTTGTGTTATTTCATTTATATCTTTCGTGTTGAATACCGGTAAAGGTCCTAGTTTCTTTTTTAGTTCACTTTGATATTCCTCTTGATTCATTTCGAGATGTTTGGCAATTTATCCTGTGTTAATAATTTTCTTCTATCTAATTTCGTATTTATTTCTATTCGCGTCCTAACTAATCGATGATCACTACCAGTGTTGAAAGAATTTAGTACAGTAAGATCTTTAGCAATGTTTTTGAAGTTAGAGAGATAAAGTCAATTTCATTTTTTACTTTGCCATCTGGGCTTAACCACGTCCATTTTCTCTGCATCTTTTTCTTGTAGAAGGTATTTAAGCAGAATAGTTTTTCTTTGCTGAGGAAATTTACGAGCATATCTCCCCTGTGATTTCTACTTCCCAGTCCAAAATTTCCAATATATTCGTTGTCGTTGTTATTTTCGTTCTTTCCTATTTTAGCGTTGAAATCTCCCGTGATTATTACGTAATATGTTTTCTCTAGGTTTCTGGCTCTTGTAATGTCTTCATAAAGTTGTTCTACCTCTTCATCATCTGCAGAAGAAGTTGGTGACAGATTATAAATCGTTTACCTTTTCCTAAAAGTGATATTAAAGATAATAAATAAAAAATTAAAAGTTTATTTGAATTACCTGAGGGATTTCTTAAGCCGGTCGACAGCCCATCCAAAAATGCACGTCTTGCAGATGTCACAGAAGCATCCACCCAAACTTTTGGTTTTGTATGGCCACCATTTATCCATGTTTCGTCTAAGTAATACATGGTTCTATTTTCAGCTCTATATTTTCTTATGTGTTGCAAATAATTTCTCCGCCATAGCACAATTTCATTTTTGTCGAGTAGCAAACTGTTTCTTCCACATTTTTGAAATTTAAAATTTAATTTTTGTAAGAGTTTGTAAAACGTGGTTCTCTTAAAATTTGGTAGGTCATTATCATTATTTACATCTCTTAGGACTTTGTCAATTGTAGGAATTTCATTTCGGAAAAAATACTGATGAACCATTCTTCTTATAGCTGACTTATCAAAATCATCTACAGTATCTATTGATTTTGAACGATTTTGGTTTGTTTTCGGTGCAGATAATGTATGGGTACTTTTATATTCTTTAATGACATTGAAAACAGTTTTCGAACAAACTCCAACTTTATCTGCAACCCTTTGTTGAATGTCCGTTAACGCTAAAGTAGGATTATCTTGTAATTCACATTTGTATGTATTAACCATTATTTCTTTGGTTCTTATATCTACGTGATTTTTCTTAGCTCTTTTCCTAGGAGGACTTAGCATTAACAGTTCCTCATTTTCATTTACCGACTCCGTATCAGACATATTAAATAAATGGATTTATTATACTTTTCTGAACTAAAATAACAAAATGGGCATCTTCAAATTTACTTTTATAGTAAGAGGATCCGATATATGGTTTACCTACACCGCTTTGTTAAATGTGATATTTTTTTACTTATGATTTTGAGCCTTGAAAATCGTCATCTATCGTTCTTCGTCTGTCAATTCTTTTTCGTCTGTCAATTCTTGTTCGTCTGTCAATTCTTCATTGTCTTCCAGTTTTAAATTATTTATAACTCGAACACGATCAACTTAAGAAAAATTACAAAATAAATTTTTGTTTAGAATGATCCAAAAAATCTAAAACAATATCTGCCCGGGTTGATTTTTTTAAATATATAAAAAAGGTATTTTTTAACTCTTTTCGGCACATCGGTTTGAAATTTGAACCACTAAATTTCTGCTACATGTTGTACAGTAGTCCACAAACCGAATCACTTATTAATCTATTTTTATCAAGTTACACCTACGCAAGTGGTTTGTATTACTTATTCCCTCTGCCTATTAAGTGTTATCTTTATTTGGTGAAATTCTCACAGTATACGGTTATCGGCCAAACGCGAATGGTTATCAGTTGTTTCTTGAAAAGTGAGGTCATTTTACTTTTTACATGTGCAATTGAATCTTTCTATGCCCCAAGGGTCCATTGTAGAAAATTTATAAAATCTCGTGCCGCAAAGAGTTTGAATTATTAATTAATTATAGTCAGAACAAAATTATATCGGGCACCTCTTGTTTTTCATAATTTTTAACATACTAAATAATTTTTATCCATTAAACATATCAGTGCAGGTCGACATTATATCGTATCTTATGGCTATTATAAATGCTTTATTATACTTACAGAAATTATTTTAAAGTGGGGAAAGAGTTTGTATCGACTATAATTAAATGTTCTTAAAAATGCTTTGCACTATCCACACACGAGCTAACGATTAACAAATTTAATAAACAAACCAACAAACAGCTTTGCACAAAAATTACTGGGCCATTTCGCATTCGACAGAGGACGGAGTGGAAAAACGAAGTGCGCACCTGTTAGGACTAACTGCTTGACTTACGATCGTTCGACAACTTGGCCAATAGCAAGGCGTTCGTTACGTGTAGACTCGAATATCACGCGGTGACTTGTGTTGATTCTGCCCGTAACTTGAAGTTGAATTTACTGCATATTTTTAACGAAATACACCAAATAACCGGTAAAATGTAAACACCAAACGTTGTTTAATTGATATTTAACACAATAAACAGAAACCAGCGCCGTCTTTTCGCTGCAAGGTTAAACAAAAATGGTATGTTTTGCGTATGAATATTTAGACGGTAGGTTTTGAGGGGTTAAGAAAAGGTAACAATTCAACGTTGTTGTTGGTGATTGTTCAGCTCTTTGCGTTGCGTTTTCGGTCGTGGAATAAATGTCCGTTCACCAGCCGTTGAACAGCTAAACTGCAGTGGGCGGAGTTGGTGTATGAAAAATTAAGAGATTGTTCAAACCATCTCATTGGCATATCTGATATGTTGAATCATTATTATTTGGAGTCGCAATACCAAATACAGCTGTGGTGCCATCTATTAGTTTTATTGCGATTTGAAATGACATAAAAATTGATTTTTACGTGTTTCCGTACAATTTTTTGAAAATTATCTTTTATAAAAAGAACCTAAATAAATAGGATAATAATTTACTCCTAAAGTTGATAAAATAGGTATATTTCATATCAATCTAAAAAATAATACCCTAGTAATTCTCCCTAATCTTATTAAATTATAAGAAATTTTAAATTTTGCTAATTCATAACCTATACCTCATTCATAATCTAACCATTCTACATACTCCTTCTGATAATAACAAATACAACCAAAAAATAATTATCTAATTTTATGCAGTCGTTCTGGAGTAATGCGCATACAAACATTTCAGAGATTCATTTTTATTTATATAGACTTTTATATTCTAAGCAAATTATATTATAAAAAATAATTGAATAAACTATTATGTTTGCTCCTAAACCAAAGAGCCAACATTACTAACAAAGCATACGTTGTTTACTTCTGACAGACCTGTCAAATTCAGACGAAATATTAAATTAATAAAATACAAATAAATATAATTTGATAATAAATTTAATTGTTATATAAACTAAATAATATATTTAAAACTAATAATTGTATTTATATGAAATTATGAGTAGTGAATCCATGTGAAGAACCGCTATTTCGTGACACTATAGAGAAAAAAGTAATAGAACGCCAGTTTAAAAACTTTGCTTCAATAATACAAACTTTGTTTATACCTAAACTTAATTTTAAAACGGAATTTAATCGGAAGGTGCTGTTATTACCTTCTTTTGGAGCATAGAAACATAAATAAATTCCGTAGTCATGGTTCAAAAATTGTTACTGTTCAAGAACTATGATTAAAATAGTCGACCATAACACTAACAATATTGGATAACCATCCAGAAAAGTGTGTAAGAAAGCAGATATAGTGGGTATTGTAAATGAGAGTGTGTTCATAATTTTAATTCACGAATTGTAAATTATAAAATACTCAGCGCGTAGGTTATTCGTTCCGAAACAAAAACGAATTTTTATTCGAAGAAGAAGAGGAAGAAAAGCACATAAATCGTCTTTAAAAGACTAAACAAATTGATCTGACGGACCAATATTTAAGAATGGATAACACAACTTCGTGAATCTTAAATACAATATTTGAAATACCTTGAGAATCCTGTTCTGTACCTAAAGCGGCTGGCAAAGGTACACTACCTCCAGTCATCAGTACTAAAAAGTATTTTTTAGCCTTAGTACTGTTTGGATAATCTACAACTACTCCTCCATAGAATCCCGCCTTCATTGCCTGCGATGTGACTAGTTCCATCTGTTCACTATTTTCTGGATAAAACTGGAAAACTGCTCTTGCTGAACGAGTCTAAAAATAAAATAAAATTAATTTTAACACGAAAAACAAGAAATTATAAATGTGCCACAGAAAATAAGCATAGGGCAATCTCAATCATAGAGATGACATTCTAAATATTTATCCAAGATGGAAATCGTTATTCTCGATTTGGAAATGCACAATACGGAATTTCAAAACAAAAAAAATATAAATATTTCATATAATCGCCTCATATTTCGGTAATACCATTGATTATAAACCACTACCTAGATACCTCACTGTAAGGTAAAAACGAATTCAGTGTTAAACTTCGCCCTGTTTCCTTATATCATGGCCCACTTACACCTCTTTGTCCCTCACGCCTAAGTACTTCCTGACTGTATGGTGGCGACATTCATTGAAATCTTTGCCAAGATTGAAAAATAAATTTGAGTTCCCTGGTCCGGCAATTCTCTAGTGCATTAGAGGACGATATAAGGATGGTATTCGGCATTTTCACAAATAATTTTAACGTGTTTGTAATCTATATTATGAAATTAAGATTTTACTTCAGAAAAAACACTAAAAATTGATTCATGAAAACAGTAAAGGTTTTCTAAAAATTATTTATTTATCAACACAATACAAAAAAATAACAAAATATAAAATATATAATAAAATTAGCAGTGATAAATTACATCTCATGTAAATTACTTTTTTGTAACACTTTTCAAACAAATTAATTTCCAGAATTGATGCAAACTAAAATATTTCAAGCTAATATACAGAATTTATTTCCAGATTTAGTCCATTCACTCACGATAAAATATTGCAAATCCTCATAAGTTTAAAGAATCGCTTGGATTGACATGAAATTTGGCTTACGCCTAGCTAAGATGTCAAAGGAAAAAAGATTATGCTTTTGCCCTATGGATCAGTATCACCCCTTATCGGGAGTGAAAAAATATATGTTCAAGATAAGTTCGGAAGTGCCTAAAATCAGTAATTCTAAGCAACTTTGGTTTTATAGAGGTTTTTCACTCATGTCAATACTTTTGTGTGTGTGTGTGTGTGTGTGTGTGTGGTGTGTGTGTGTGTGTGTGTGTGTGTGTGTGTGTGTGTGTGTGTGTGTGTGTGTGTGTGTGTGTGTGTGTGTGATGTGTGTGTGTGTGTGTGTGTGTGTGTGTGTGTGTGTGTGTGTGTGTGTGTGTGTGTGGTGTGTGTGTGTGTGTGTGTGTGTGTGTGTGTGTTTTATTGGCACTGGTTTTGACAACCAACTGGAATACTTTTCGAGTTATTGAAAAATAGGTTCTTATTCGTCAAATTCCATGTTGAATATTTCAACGTGAAATAATAAAAAACTGAAGCACTTTTCGACAAAAACTCATTACAACTTTTTTTGAAGTGTTTTAAAAAGGTTTATTTTTGTTAAGTTTCTTGCATCAAGAGTAAGCAAGTTATGACCAAAATATTCAGAAAAGCAAAACCTACATTTTTTTACTCTTTGTGATTTTTGGTGTCACTAATAAATTTTAAGTTATTTTGAAAAAAAGCATTTTTTTTTTCAAAATTAAAAGAAAATTGTTAAAAAATAAGCCCTTTGAACAAATGAAACTTACAGATCATTATAATAATACAATAAAAACAATGACCAAGGTATTTATTTGAGAAATCAGGACACGCATTGAAATTGCAAGACAAGCATTTATAAAAAGGAAAAAAAATTGTTTGTTAATCGAGATCTTATCTAGTTTGGATGGGAAATAAGCCACAATTTTACTAAAAAATTATTTTATTAACGTTTCGACGCCCAAATCGGGTGTCGTTGTCAAAATACAAAAATTATTAATGAATTAAACAAAACTAGTGTTGCTTAGTAAAAAAATTCTTCTAATAATTTATTTAATCTGACTCATTGATATTGGCAATTCAGACATATATTATACATTTTAAAGTAGAAGACTTTAAAATGATATTGCCAATATTTATGAGTTGCGTTCCTGGGACTATATTTATATTCTAGCGCAAGAATTTTACTGTCACCATTGCATGTGGTTGTCTATTTAAAGACATATTACGTTATGATTTTTTGTGACGGATATTCTTCAGTTGGGGTAGATTTCATGTAATCGAATTAACTATCTTTCAACAAAGTCGTCCCAGGAACGCAACTTATAAATATTGGCAATATCATTGCCAATATTTCATTATCTACTTTAAAATGTATAATAAATGTCTGAATTGCTGATATAAATGAGTCAGAATAAATAAATTATTATAAGAATTTTTTTAACCAAGCAACATAATTTTTGTTTAATTCGTTAATAATTTTTGTATTTTGACAACGACACCCGATTTGGGCGTCGAAACGTTATTAAAATAATTTTTTAGTAAAATTGTGGCTTATTTCCCATCAAAACTAGTTAATTGCAATAATGCCACATGAAAATAGCTTCAAAACAAAATCGAGATCTTCCTCTGGAGCTGAGGATAAGCGCATTAAGATGCTACGTGTTCTCGACTTTGATACATGGAATGGAAAGATATACGCTAAAAGTACACAATATACAGAAGTTGGAAGCATTTGAGATGTGGTGCTATAGAGGAATTTTGAAAATACCTGGATCTAACGAGTTACAAATGCAAAAGTGTTAAGGTTACAATGTTACAAAAGGATTGCAAGGTGATAAAGAACATCAACACAAGAAAGCTGGAATATTTAGGTCATATTACCGAAGGTGCGAAAGGCTTAAAATGCAATGTAAAATTCAGGGTAAAAGATCCATAGGTAGAAAAAGAATTTCCTGGCTGAGAAACTTAAAAGAGTGGTATAGTTGCAGCTCAATAGATCTTTTCAGAGCAGCCGCCAATAAAGTACGGATAGCTGTGGTGATGGCCAACCTTCGATAGGAGAAGGAACTTCGACAAGAATAGGATATAAATTTTGTTCTAATAGTAACATTGTACTACAAAAAATTGACAATTTATCTAGAAATGGCAATATAGAAGTCAATTATATTCTGTGCAAAATAAGAAATTGTATAGAGATGAACTAAAATCACTATGATCTACTGTTCGATCGCATACTTTTTACATTTAAAAATTTTCTGAGGACTTTCTGGAATCACGTCATCGAGGTTTTAAAAGCAAGTAGTGGTGAGTACCAAATGCAGTCGATTTTGACATACAAAATACCACAAATTACCAACGTTAAAAATGAATAAAGTAAGTACATATCTTGATAGAATGACAGGGAATTTCCAATACATAAATAGATGAGGGCCATCTGCCTAGGAACAATAGGTAAAAGCTGATAAACGGGCAGGATTATAAAGTTTAAAACATCACTAATTAGGTCATATTTCAAAACAAAGTAAATAAGTATATTTTATTGTTAATTCTTCTCAAACTAAGATTGTAAAATTAAAATTTTAGGAAAAAAAATATTTATTATTTCTTGTTCTCAAGAAGTACTTTCATTATTGACAATATCGAAACATTTTATTTTTAAAAGTCGAGAAGAATTTTCTGAGGAAACGTACATATTTATATAAAAGTGCTATAAAAATGTTTCACTGCAAAATGATGCTGGCAAATTACCCTCTGTTTTAGGTCACTGATATCCATCAATATAATATCAATATTCCCGCAGTTTCTTTGCCAAATTTTTGTGCGCTCTACGTCTTTCAGGGGAAATTTAAAGAAAGATCTATTGTTATTTGTTCCATCGTTTCTTTCAAAACATCCCGCGTAAACACATTAATGCGTTACACAGGCCATTTTATCTAAAATGTGAGTCCTTTTTTTTATAAAATTTCGCTATAACTTGTCACAACACTTCACACAGATAATACACTTATAGGGTAAGTTCGGCCCTGACACCACTCCTATCTCCTCGCAAGTCAGAGAGAGAATGAGAATCTCGATACGGTTTTCGAGTAACGCCATCTAGTTTTTGATACGTCTTTCGGTTACCACGAGGTGAGCTATCTAGGTAGTGGTTTATAATCAATGGTAATACCAAAACCAAAATCATAAAATAATTTATCAGGAAAAATCAGGTTTCGCCCCGTCCAGGATTTTGCACTTGGGTAGGTACGTATAATATTCTATTTTTAAGCCAGCAAAAGCAGATTTTGCGAAACAAGAATATTTTTAGTAAAACCATAACTACTGCAGCGTTCAGTTAAATTCAAATAGTGAACTGCAATTGAGTTTGGTTGAGACATCGTCGTCATTTTGTGGTCGTTGTCGTGGTGTGATAATAATTCTACAGCTGAAGAGCCAGTGAAACCCTCTAATCAATTGGAAGCTTTACAAAGCTGTGTAGTAAATCGTAAGCGACATTTTCAATACCTCTCTGATGATGCCAAACGTATGCTGAAGCATGTGTATGAACGCCCAAAGCAACCTACTACAAGATTATAGAAGAAACATCTTCTAGACAGAGGACAAAGTATTGTGGCAAATTCAGACAAATAGAACCGCGGTTAATTGAACCGATAACCAGAAAATATACAAAATGTATGCGGCTAATATTTTTCCAACTATTAAAAGCCTTCGAAGAGAATTGGTTAGAAAGGACATTATCTCATGTTCAGCAACAACACTTCGATTGTTTCTTAAAACCAATAATTTTAAGTACAAAACTATAGACAAGTGCCAAACACAAATGGAAAGTACTAGAATAATTCCTTTAAGAAACAATTATATCAAACAGATAACTGAGTATCAAAAAATTAAACGAAATATTGTTTATTTAGATGAGACCTGGTATGATACTCATGCATCGAGCAATAAGACAAAAGAGGGAATGTAAAGGTAGAAGGGGTAAACATATTGATAGACAGGAAGTGCCATCTTGAGAGGCCACTTTAGACAAGGATAGAGAGTCTCTCTCCTTGTTTGACATCAAATTTAGTTGGGTTATGTTATTGTTTGTCCCAAATGTCACATGAAATCTTATTTATATTGAAGTTTTTTAACAATTGTGTCGCATTTTAGACTCTTATCATTAATAATTAATTAAAACTTTCTCGTCTTAGACACAT